AAAACTTCACCTAATCAGGACTTGTCCATATATATATATATATGTATGTATGTATGTATGTATGTATATAAAGCCTCAATATCAGTTTTGTGTCACTACCCACATTTGATCTTTTCTTGTCTTCACCAAATCACCAGGCGATGATCATGGCTACTCCAACTCTTCCTCCATTGCCAACTCTGCTCTCTTCTTTTTGTTTTTTACTGCTTTTAGCAGAGTTTCAGGCAGCCATCACAAGACACTATACCTTCAATGTACATTACTTCCATTCCTCTTTTTATTCTTTTCTTAAATATATATACATACAAATATATATATATAAAAGAGTTGTGTAATGATTCTATGGTGTTTGTTGATTTGAAAGATTACATACCACAATGTTACAAGACTTTGCAAGACCAGAAGTATTTTGAGTGTTAATGGAGAGTTTCCTGGTCCAAAGCTATTTGCAAGAGAAGGTGATAGAGTCATTGTGAAAGTCATTAACAGTGTCTCTAACAATGTTACCATTCACTGGTATGACTTTTTTTATTTTCCTAATTCAGGATATTTCATCTTATTTTATTAATTAATTGAACTTAAAACTCAGATGGGTATGTGTCTCTATACCTGTGTGTGTGTGTGTGTGTGTATATGTATGTGCAGGCATGGAATTAGGCAGCTAACCACTGGTTGGGCAGATGGACCAGCTTATATAACCCAGTGTCCCATTCAAACTGGGCAATCCTACACATACAATTTCACCATAACTGGGCAGAGAGGAACTTTGCTATGGCATGCTCATATCTCATGGCTGAGAGCAACCATTTATGGACCCATCATTATCTTCCCAAGGAAAAATGGAAGTTACCCATTTGAAAAACCCTACAAGGAAATCCCTATTCTTTTTGGTATATTTCTAAGAATCTTTATTAATTTGTTTTTGATTTGGCACCAAATGTGATTAAACCATTTTATTTTTAATATTACAGGAGAGTGGTTTAATGTAGATCCAGAAGCTGTTATCAGTCAAGCTCTTCAGACAGGAGGAGGACCTAATGTTTCAGATGCATACACCATTAATGGCCTTCCTGGTCTACTCTATAACTGTTCTAAAGGTATTTATCTTCATCATCATCAGCAAAATATATTTCAGCTCTACCCTAAAACTACATAGGAAAACTATAAGAGTATGTATTGATTGAATAAATGGTGTTTGTTGATTTGCAGATGTGTTCAAGCTAAAAGTAAAGCCAGGGAAGACATACCTTCTCCGATTAATCAATGCTGCACTCAATGACGAGCTCTTCTTTGGCATCGCAAATCACAGTCTCACAGTAGTCGAAGTTGATGCATCTTATGTCAAACCATTTGTGACTGACAAGCTCTTGATCTCCCCGGGACAGACCACAAACGTACTTCTCCACACCAAACCATATTTCCCAAATGCTACGTTCCTCATGGCTGCTAGACCTTACTTTGTTGGCCAAGGCACTATCGATAACACTACCACGACAGCCATCCTTGAATATCACCATCTTTCAACTCATAAACACTTTCCTTAATTAACACAACTCTGCCTCCAATCAATGCCACCAGCTTTTACGCCAATTATACCTCTAGATTACGTAGCTTGGCCAACAAAAACTTCCCGGCTAACGTACCAAAGTCTGTGGACAAAAAGTTCTTCTTCACTGTAGGGCTAGGATCCAACCCTTGTACTAAAAACACAACCTGTCAAGGACCAAATGGCACGAAATTCGCAGCCTCAGTTAACAATGTCTCCTTTGCATTGCCCTCATCAACATCTATCCTCCAAGCTTATTTCTTTGGAAAATCTAATGGAGTCTACACCACAGATTTCCCTGTAAAACCTTTGATGCCTTTCAACTATGCAGGTCAACCACCAAATAATACTAATGTAAGTAATGGAACACGTACTGTCGTGTTGCCCTTCAACACGAGCGTGGAGTTGGTGATGCAGGACACCAGCATTCTGGGTGCTGAGAGTCACCCTCTTCACCTACATGGGTATAATTTCTATGTTGTTGGGCAAGGTTTTGGTAACTACGACCCTAACAAGGACCCCGCTAACTTCAACCTCGTCGACCCTGTTGAGAGAAACACAGTGGGTGTGCCTGCCGGTGGCTGGGTGGTGATCCGGTTCATAGCAGATAACCCAGGTATGAAAATTTTGAGAATTGAAACATTGTAATATTAAAGATGTGATTTTGATTGCTGACTGACTTTTGGTCAAACACAGGGGTTTGGTTTATGCACTGTCATCTAGATGTTCACACAAGCTGGGGTTTAAGGATGGCTTGGATTATCCTGGATGGACCCCAACCCAATCAAAAGCTTTCACAGCCACCCTCCGATCTTCCAAAGTGTTGATCTTGACTGATCGTGATGCCGAAATTAGCCATTGAGATTTTTCCTTTCCCTTTTCAAGTTCAATAATTGTGTTATTTCTTTTTTCGGTTTGGTGGTTAAAGACTGAGAGAAAGAGATATGAAGATCGGATGATTTAGTTTTGTCTAATGTAATAATTTATGAGCTCTCATGTTTTTTGTATATAACTGAGGGTTTCATGACAACACAATCCAACAGTGATTATAGTCAAGCATATAATACATATAATACAACCGGCTTATAAATCAAATATATACATTTTAAGTATCTTAGCCTTTGCATTTGTGGAACTAGTCCTTTATGGAACTAAAAATAGACCCGAAAAAATAACAGTTTAAGAATAAGGGAAAAGCTAGATTGCACTACCTTACACCTTCTCCAGCAATGGATTCTAGGATAACCAGAGACAAGAAAGCTTCTCTCACACTTCGATCTCTTGCCTGATGAATCACGTACAACCATCACCTTTATGGAGTATATACAGTTTACATGCTGTTGCACGAGTCGGCTATGCTACAACATAAGCATAGAAAAATACTGCTCAAATTCTTGATCAATGGGTTGGGTTTCCTCTTGCCTTGTTGAGCATCTGTATCCAAAATGTCAGTAAACAAAAAGTCAATCAAGCTATTTCTATCACATTCCAAATCCCATCCCCTTCCCTATTTCAATAACATGTATTCCGGTAAAATATTTTACTT